TATATATATATATATATATATATATATATATATATATATATCTTTATATATATATCTATATGTATATATGAAAAAAATATGAAAATGCATGTGGGTACTTAAATGAAAGCTCTTGATGACTGTAACATCGGGATGAGCTTATATCTTTAAAAACGTCAGTATTTAAGAAAATACAGTGCAATTTAACATTATTAATAAGTGACCTTGTATCTTGAGAACTATTGACATTTTTAAAAATATAAGTTCTCCCCGACAATACACTCATCGAGACCTTTCATTTGAGTACCCACATCAATTTTGCATATATTTATATATATTATATATATGTATATATGAAAAATATATCAAAATGCATGTGGGTACTCAAATGAAAGCTCTTGACGAGTGTAACATCGGGATGAGCTTATATCTTTATAAATGTCAATATTTAAGAAAGTACAATGAAATTTAACACAAATTATTTAATAAAGCAAAATTTTATTTATTTATAGTCCACGACAGTCACATAGTGACTGCAAGGTTGCTATTTTAAATCATTTTCTTGTATATCATCTCAATCTAATCCTCAGTTAGAATCCTGAGAGATGACCTCACTCTAGTTCCACTTATTATTTATTTTATTGATATTAGTTATTAATTTAAATTAAAAAAAAAAATTTACCATCGCATATCATGTCATAAATAAATTACTTAATAAAAGCTCTTTGTTCTTACGGCAACTGAAGATTATTTGCGGCTATTTTATATTTCTAAATAAGTCCGCGTATCCTTGAGACACATTCGTTTCAGGAATGATTAATCAATAAAAAAAAAACGTAAACAATTAGTCGTGTTGTCTCGGTCCCAAGTTTAGAGGAGGCATTCAGCATCTGAAAAAAATAAAGAAAAAAAATAAATAAAGTGAAGTAATTTATAGAGTCGAAGTCGAATTGAATTTAATTGAAGATAATTAACCGGAAACATTGACATTAGTGCCAAATAAAGGAGTATCCTAAAATAAACGGCATTAGTTAGTGTAATATAAGGTAATTAGTGATTTTAAGGAACTACCCAGTGTTAAAGACACCATGAAAGGCTCTCTCGTTCACCTCGAGCGCAATCCTCGGTTACTTTTACGTATACGGGCCCGGTCGGACGTATTGCGCGACTCATCGGCGGGTGTCCGTGACTGAATTCACAGTAAAACATTTATTATTTTTTTAAATATTTTTATTTCTTTACATTTGTCTATCTCGCTTGCTCTACTCACGCTCATCGCATTAGTAACACCGGCACAACGCGAGTTAGTGTTAGTAAGTATCATATGTAATGTAATGTAATATAACTCACGTATGCAAAATTACTCAATAACTTTTTGAGCGAAAAAAAAATTCACCGTCTAGACTAATCACCGTTTTCGTATTTAAAGCGCTGTGGTGTTTGATATTGAGGAGTTCATGGCCGGTCATATAATAACTTTGCCACTTAGTTACTTACCTCGTATCTCTATCTATATCTCCATCTGTATATGTCAATTATTTTATTCGCCATCGAATCAAATCGCAAATTTATTTAAATCATATCAGTAATATCTTCACCTACCGCGACAAGCTCACCCGGCTTCTTAAGTTTTTACAAAACTCTGAAAAAAAATTTAAGCGACATTAGTATTAACATAAATTAAATTACATATTACATACGTTATTTTTTTAAAAATACGGTCTTATTAAAAAATAAATAAATAAATAAAATAAATGAATAAAAATAATATATACTTAGCAATTACGCGTGTCCTCGTATTTCTTCGAACAAACTATCATTGTTATTAGTTATTATAATTAAATACTGCTAGTAATATTAATTACAATGTATTGTACATTAAAAATACGTATTGAATTTTTTTATTTGTTTAAGATTGCATTGAAAGTTATCACAAATGCATTCATCATGGATTCCAATGTCGGTCTTGACTACATTGTTGATAATCCGGACTACTGCAAGAAACTAGCATCAGGTTCTTACCTTTATTAATTATTTATTAAGTTTTATTAATTACTTACTTTATTTGTATTTTTAGCACAATATAAATTGTCTAAATGTTAATGTTTAAGCTCTCGACACGGCGTGTGCCTCCGTTAAGAAACAAGTTGTCGAGTTATTATCAGCGCTGTGTGTATACAGTCAGGATGGCAGACAACGCGCTATCGACACTCTTCACATATACCAGGTGATTTTTATTTGAACAGCACTTTTTAGTCTTACTTTTTTAGATATCTGCTGAAATATTGTAGAGCACAGAGAACCGTGGGACGCTTTCCCGTTTAGTTTCTTGACAAATATGTCTGAGCCGGAATCTGATCGGATTAGGAAATATATATTTCCTAGATCTTGAAATAAAAAATAAAATGACATTAAAGTTAGCTGTCATTTGACTATTTTTTTAACAAACAAATTTGTTGAAAAGTGTTTTTTAAAAATTGCATTTTTAATTTTTTTAAATTTCTCTATGTCAATTTTTTTTGCCATAATTTACTTGTTACAAAAGTTTTTAGAATTATTAAATATCTGCTAAATTAATTTTCATCACATAAATTATAATGAAAATTAAATTATCCGACATTTAAAAATTTTTTTTTAATAACAAAATTATTACAAAAGATTAAAAAAATTTTCATTTGTAAAAAACTTGAAAAACTATAAGGATAATTTTTAAAAAATATTTTTTAGTTATTATTTAATAAACAAATTTTCACCAAAAAATTATTTTCAAGAAATTGCATTTTTTATTTTTTTAAATTTCTACATGTCAATTTTTTTTGCTCCAATTTATTTGTTAAAAAAATTTTTAAATTATCAATTATCTGCTAAATTAATTTTCGTAAAAACAAAATATATTAGCAATATAACTGGAGAGTACACTGAGAAAAAATTTTTTTTTAAAAAATACAGACATTTTTAAGACAAAAAAGAAATTTTTAATTATTTTATTTCTTAGCTAAACAAATCAAAATTTTTTTTTAGTAAATTTATGACATTAAAGTTAGCTGTCACTAGACAAATTTTTAATTTTATTTAATTAAATTAATTCTAAAAAATTATTTAAAAAATTGCAATAATTTATTTGTTTACAAAAGTTCTAAAACTTTCATCTAAAATTGTTTTTCCCAAATCTAGAAAAGTTTTCTTCAACAAAAAAGACACTTAAAAAAATTATTATTAAAGCTAAAAAATAAAATTAATTTCTTGTCACAAAAATGTTAATTTTTGTTCACAATAAATTTTTTCTCCAGTGTAGAGCGCTATTATATTTTTTACCTGAATATTATTATTATTATTATTATTATTGCAAAGTTATTATGGATGATAAAAAAAGAGACAAAGAAGACATTTATTGAAGAGAATGACTAGAGGGACTGTCGTACATCTCAATTCGAAACGGCTTGAATAATTCATTGACTTTTAATCGAGTTGACGTACGGTTTGTTTACTGTAAACGGACACTTGTGAGTTACGATTAACATACGATGATGCTTCAATGGATCATGTGTTTCCTTTTCAATAACAATTTTCTATTTTATATTGTATTATATTCTTCAAGTCTTTTTTCGTGAAGAATACAATTTATTGTATACCAATAGATCTAACGGTAACTAGGATAGTTTTATAGAAATTCAATGTGGAAATTATCGATGGTTAAAAGTTTGAATTGAATTCAATGGAAGTTTACAAAAATGGTTCGTAAAAATTGTTGAAGAAATAAATGACAATTTTAAAAATAATCTTTCTTATATATTTAATTTTTTTAGGATAATAGAATAGAAAAGTTCTGGTACTTTTGTATGAAATTTGTAAGAATTTGATGAAGAAATTGTCAAGGATAAAGAAGAGTTTATTTAATTTTATTAACAAAAATATTATTATACACAGGATAAAAAAAGCGAGCGCTATCGTCTACGAGTTATTGTCGACGAGTTACAAAAAACAACAACAGAAGATTATCAAGCGGCATTGTTAGCATTCATAAACTGCCTGGTTATCTCGACGGCGGTCCTCAAGGACCGCGTTCGTATACGTAATGAATTCATTGGTAATGCACATAGTGTTTTTATTTAAAAATAAAAATCTACAAACTTATTAACAATTAAATAATATTATTTTCAGGCTTGAAGCTGCTGCCTATTCTCAATGACTTGAGGTAAGCTTTACTTCTGGTAGTTTGCAATTATCAGGAGTTATTAATAATCATATTAGAAGAAATGAAAGAGAGAAAGTAGAATTGGAGCAAATTTGTCATTTGCTTATAATATGAAAACAAAAATAAAGGAATTAAAGTAAAGACTAAAATTCCCTGAGCGGCGCCACGGAAGACTAGAAGCGAAAAATAGAACCAAACCGAATATACCACACTTCTTTCTCCTCCACATTCTTAGAGTAATCTCTAGTATGTCGAGTTTATCGGATAGATTGTTAGAAGCTAGACCAAAGCACCAGAGGGTTAAAAAGAAAAATTAACGTTTTGTTCGTATCGGGTTAAAGTTTGGGAAGGGAGAGATAAAATTAACTCTGTAGCTTCTTCTTTTCCTACTTCGTCACAACTGCACCTGCATCTGCCTGCACAACACTCTCTTCTGGAAGATCACAGCATTCTCAATTGACTTATTTTAATCCACTTCCGACTTTTTTTAACACGGAAAAACAACACGTGCTGTATAATATCTTAGTTTGATTTTTATCTTGTTTGACGAAGGAATTAAATAATATTCATAAAATAGTTTGTTTGATTGATCTGTTTAGTTGTGATTGATGAAAGTGAAAAAATGGAATTATTTATTACATGGACATAGTTATTGGTAAGGAATATGACTTAACTCTGATTTTATCTTTAATTCTGTAAGATTTTTTTGTTGTACAATAGTAAGTTGAACCTGATGATTAATACTTTTTAAATAATCCATTGGTCACTAGATTGTCGTGCTCGTGATAATAAACAGAAAGAAAAATTTATTGACTGGAGAACAAAATTCTTGACTCAAGAAAATTTTTCTTTTTTTTAATTCAAATTATCATAAATATTTGATACAATAAATTTTTATATTAGATCAAGATTTTTAGATACTTTAGGGAAGCAGCGTCAATTACTTCAGCTGAGAAAAAATTTTCTCACCTTGAAAAAATTTTTCTCTTCAATATTTAATACCCATTTTATATTATTTTAGCATGCAATTATACATATTTAATGAAAAAAAAAATAATTCAATATTATTTGATCCTCCCATTTGACATTTTAATCAATAAAAATATTAATGAAAATTTATTTCTATCAAGAACTAAATTTTTTGGAGTGAGAGGGTGAATTTTCTCAAAACAACAAGATTTTTTTGACTTAAATAAATTTTCTTGGGTCAAGATACATATTTCTAAAGCAAGAGAATTAATTTTGTTGGAATAAGTGAAATTTCTTGTCAAAAAAAAATTTTTTTCGCTCAAGAAAATAATTAGAAGAAAAATCTTTTCTTGGCTCAAGTGAAGTTTTAAATAATCCATTGGTCATTAGATTGTCGTGCTCGTGATAATACAATTGAATATATATTTAGATATTGTATACTTTAGATAGAAGTAAATGTACAGAGTAACGGGTCAAGTATAATAATTTTAAAAACCGAGTGGGGTAAGCCGGTACCTTGTTCATTTTCTTACCGGTGACAAATAAAACACGAGACTCATCGTATCAACAGTGACAGTTAGTTCCTTATAGTTAACGGAAATATATAATATATCTGAGTAAATTTGTCAGTCTAGAATAGTTTTATTATTCGGCTAGTCATAGAATAGAGTAGAATAGAATAGAGAAGAAAAATAAACATTTACAATTACAGTCGAGTGATAAACGATGGGAGAGATAGAGATAACGCCTCGATTTTTTCACTATGGAAAAAATAAAGGGTGGATGTCATTTTAGGAAGCAAAAGAGCCAGTACCCGGAGCTGAGGGTTCAGCTGGAAGTCTTCGACGACCAGAGGGAAGCCGATGAAGAACTTACTAACCAAGGTCCCCCTGGAATCGATCTCTCCTCGCATGTCGATGTCTTCTACGCTATTTTAGGCCAGGCTAGTATTTTATTATTACGCTTTTGTTGGTGGTATTTTAATTTTTTTTTTTTTTTTTATCAATATAAAGCTGATGACACTGTCATATTATATATGTTTCCAGATCGCAGATACGCCGCAAGAAATAGCTTTCTTGAGTATTCTCCAACATCTGTTGAGGCTAGATCCAAAGGAGCCGGCCAGCGATCTTGCTTGGGACACTGCTGAGACTTTAGTACACCGTGCGACGTTACTTGAGAGCCGTAATGACGCGACGAAGCTCTTGAGATCACCGAGTCTTCAAGTATTTTATTTATTACACTTTCGGGGAGGCGAAGGAAAAATTCTAAAAAAGTTGACAAAATCTAAAAAAAAATTTTAAGATCAATTTTGTGTGAAGTACACTCAGAGAAAAAATTTTCATGTGAAAAAAATTAACATTGTGACAATAAATTAATTTTTTTTTAATTTTATTTTTTAGCTGAAGGAATAAAAATTTTTCCAATAGTAGCTTTTTTGTTGAAAGAAAGTTTTCTAGATTTGGATAAAAATTTTCAAGTTTTTTGTCTGAAATTTTTTTTTTCAAATTTAGAAAATTTTTTTCTGACAAGAAATTTACTGTAAAAAAAATTTTAATTTGTCCAGCTAATTATTATACAAATATAAACAAATTATCTTTAAAAAGAAATTTTTTTTTCTTAGTGCAGAATTATTTTTATTTTTCCATTATTTTCAAATCAATTTTATTTTGTTAATTTTTAACTTGAATTTGATCCAAAAAATTTGAGATTGGATAAAATTGATAAAAACCATTTTTATAAAAATTGAAATTTTCTAAAAAAAATGTCTTTTATAATTTTATCTTAACTCCAATATTTTTGTGACAAGAAATTTATTTGTTAAAAATTTTATTTTTTAGCTGAAGAAATAAAATGAAAAAAAAATTTTTCTCTCAGTCAGTATCATTTTTATTTTGTTAACTTTTAACTTAAATTTCGTCCAAAAAATTTAAGATACAATAAAATTGATAAAAACCATTTTTATAAAACATTAAATTTAAAAAAAAATGTTTTTTTTTAATTTTAGCCTCTAATATTTTCTCCAAAATAAAATTTTAAAACTAATTTTCTAATAAAAACTTAAATTTTCAGACAAATTTATGCTGTCATTGTCGAAGTGCTGATCAAACGTGCAGTACACCTCGTAAACCATCATTGCCAAGCAGTAGTCCGGCTCCATTACCGCCCCCGCTTCCGTCAGGTGGAACTTCACCTGGAATAATATCTTCACCAGCAGCTCAAAGTCCACCCACAAGCATTGCGTTGGCTCCGCCGCCTCCTCCGCCGCTTCTCGTCGCCGTGACTGCTCCCGATGCAGTCATGGAGCCTCCACTACCTCCACCTCTCCATGTGCCAGCGGTTAATCGGATCCCGACACCCGAACCGCCCAGCAATAATGCAAAGCTTTTACCTCAGCAGGAAATTCCCACGCCAAAGTCCAAAATGAAGACTATCAATTGGAACAAGATACCCAATCACAAGGTTGTCACTCGCTCTTTACTTTATATTTATATTTATATTTATTAATACCCTAAGATAAATAGGAACAAATCAAATTGAATTTAATCGAATGTTCGAGTTGTTAGAATGTAGTGTCTACCCGGTGATTCAAGGACACGGTGTATTTTTACCAGTTATTTAGGTGCGAGACTGTTGGAATAGTTTTAACAGAGTCTTTTTTGTTGGTCTTTTAGGTCATTGGCAAGAGAAACATTTGGTCGTTAGTTGCTAATGAGCATCAGAATTCCCCGATGGCTGACTTAGATTGGGCTGAAATGGAGGGTTTGTTCTGTCAACAAGCACCACCTATTTTACCTCCGGCTACTTATACTTTGTCCAGTGGAACTGGCCAAGACACTGAACGTCGTCGACGTGAACCTATGGAGGTAAAAAAATTACCTAATCAATCATTTAATAAATACTACCAACCTTGCAGTCACTATGTGAACTATAAATAAATAAAATTTTGCTTTATTAAATAATTACTTTTGTTAAATTACACTGTACTTTCTTCAATATTGACATTTTTAAATATATAAGCTCATTCCGGTGTTACACTCATCAAGAGCTTTCATTTGAGTACCCACATCAATTTTCAATATATATTATATATTTATATATTTTATACATATAAATATGAAAATATATATAAAAATGCATGTGGGTACTCAAATGAAAGCTCTTGATAAGTGTAACATCGGAATGAGCTTATATTTTTAAAATATTTATTAAATATATGTATATATGAAAAATATATAAAAATGCATGTGGGTACTCAAATGAAAGCTCTTGATAAGTGTAACATCGG